ATTATCAATGTTAAGCAAAGAAATAATACATTTTTCATTAATAATTATAGATTACTTTCTCGGGTTTCTATTTAGCTTGTTTCTAAAGTTTATTATTTTTCATTTTTAAGAAAACAATTGTGCTTCATATCATTTATTTTAGTCTACATAAATTATAATCACACAAAAAGTTTCATGTTCTTTCTTCTTATATTTTTTAAATAGAATTAAATTTATTTTTTAAAAGAACCGTATCAAGTGAAACAACTAAAAAATATGGAATTTAAAAAGTAAGGAGTAATAAAGATATTGATAATGATAATAATAGTAGTAGTAGTAGTAGTAGTAGTAGTAGTAGTAGTAATAGTAATAATAATAATAATAATAATAATAATAATAATAATAATAATAACAATAATAATAATAACAATAATAATAATAATTCTTATTTGGATCTGATCTGGTCTGATCTGATCTGATTGGATCTGATCTGATCTGATTAGATCTGATCTGATCTGATTAGATCTGATCTGATCTGATCTGATCTGATCTGATCTGATCTGATTGGATCTGATCTGATCTGATCTGATTGGTTCTGATCTGATCTGATCTGATTGGTTCTAATCTGATCTGATCTGATTGGTTCTAATCTGATCTGATCTGATCTGATGAGATCTGATCTGATCTGACCTGATCTGATTTTAATAAGATTAAGAAAAAAGCAGAAAAAATAAGTTGATCGGAACGGGGCCTTAGTCCCCCTAACTAACAGTCGTCAAAATAGCGTTAAAATACCATTAAAACATATCCTAACTTTTCAAATGATCATATATAATTGGATATTTTTCAAATTAGTCTATTTTCGATGTAAAAACTCATTTAATATATAAAAACCAAAGCATGATTTTTCCCATTTAATTAATTCACAGTGTTAAAAGTGCATCATTAATTTTTATACTATTCATTAATTGTGTTTTACCTTCAAACTCTTTAAATTGTTTTCCCTTTGAACTTTCCAAATTGCACCATTAGCTCATATACTTTTCATGAAGTGCGCTGTTTCCCTTGAATATTCAAAAGTACACCAGTAGTCCTTTTATTATTATTATTATTATTATTATTATTATTATTATTATTATTATTATTATTATTATTATTATTATTATTATTATTATTATTATTATTCAGGTTTGGTTAAAGGTGTTAAATCAAGAAAAAATTTTAAGGTTTCAAACATGCACCATTTAAAAAAAAACATAAGACAAATGGTATATTTTTGAAAGTTCACATGAAAATCACGCACTTTATGAAAAGTATAGAGACTAATGATGCACTTTTGAAAATTCAGAGATAAAACATGTACGGATTACAATTTAAAGAGCTCCCGGGTAAAGCACACATTTCGTTTAAAGTCTAGGGATTAATATGTATTTTTGAAAATTTATGGTGTAATTTATGAAGAATTCGTCGATAAAACGTGCAATAAACTTATTCTTTTTTTTTGAGGGGCTATAAACTTATTCCTTATTCGTTACCATTTGATAATTAATTCAAATCATGCAGAGGAACCCAACACTGGGTTAATTTGTCTTCCCATCAAAATATTTTTGTTGGCATGTCAAAATTTGAATATGTGTTAATTAACTGAGGTCGTAATGAGAGAGTGTTTTGGGGTTAGGTTTTAATTTTTTTCCTTGAGTTTCTACTTTGCTAAAATGTATTCCGTAATTTATTGTGTTTGTCAATCTAGTTCTGCTTATATATATAATGATTTTTAAAGTCAAATGAATTTTAGAAATACTCTTAAGTAAAGTTAAAACTACTCCTTACGGAGTATATGTTTTTCGTTCTAACTTAACTTTTATGCAGTTCTTTAATTTGTAAATTCGATTTTTAAATTTCGCTCCAATTCTAAAATAAATTGTATTGAAATTAACTTTGGTCAAACACCGTAAATCAAAATAGGCGGTTTAATTTGGAATTGAGAGAGTAACAAAAAAAATGAACCTCATTTCTGAGGGTCCTTTAAAACCGGTCGGATAGTTATCAGAGATGAGATAAACTAGACTTTTATCATAGATTAATAACAAAGAACGAAGTTTGCATCTGGTACTTGCACAAGTCATATATTTAACATAATTACCTCTTACCACAATTTCCAAAATTCAAAAGTATCACCTTCAAATACTCCTTAACTTGCCAACTGCACTACGTCTACTCCACAAGAGTATGTAACATAGGAGAATAAAAGGGGTGGGGTTGAGTGTGTAGAAGAAAAAAGAATAAAGGGTTGGAATAAAGGGTTCTCACTTAAAATTCTATCTTTTCCTTTTACACTCAACTCAATCTATCCCTTTGAACCCCTTCACCCACCTTGGAAGTGTCACATAATATCACTTTTGAAGCCATTTGACACTGGTTTTTTAAGTGACCGAAGACTTAACTATTTTTTTTATTTATTATATTTGATGGGATTAACCCGATCAGATGGCGGATCAAGAACGTAATATGGATCAGAAAGATATAATCTCTCAATAATATTCTTTAGTTGAGTATTCAATTACTCCCTCCTTTTAAAGTCTTTCTAATATTGTAATTAAAATTATACAAAATGGAATGGATTATGGAGATCATGGGGTTGTGATTCCCCCTTTTCCGGTCTCGTTCTCTTCCCATCTCGTCCACACTTGATGATGTGGGCCACGTGTCCCATTCCTCCCTTGGACTGGGTCACCTTGATTCATCCCATGACTGGGCCGTCTTCCTCTACTTGCCATATGCGCAATAACGGGCTTGACCCGTTATCTCCATCTGACCTTATACCTTTTGGGCTATTATGGGCCTTCATTTGGGCCTGGAATCGGGCCTACCAGACCCGATATCCATCACAAGCCCCCTAGTTTTCTGGCGACATGTCGCTAGAAAACTAATGATGAGCCGCCTTCGGTTTTCGTGTCGGATTAGAAACGTCGCACTCGAGTACCTTGGGTCCATCCTTTCAACGGATATAACCCCTTCTGAACTCGTCTTCTTCCTCTCGCTACCGAATCTTAACCCGACCCGAATTCCGACTACAATTTCCCCAAATCTTTGCCTCTTTTTCCAAAATGGCTCCTACAAATCCCAACACCTGGACCCACGAACCCTCCATTATCAAGGAGGACGAAATTCGAGAGGTGGCCGTGCTCCTGGGCAAGGGTTTCCGGGTCCACCATCCCGATGCCGTTGGGGGGATTAGTCTATCCCACAATCCAAATCCCCAGAAATACATGGTCATGCAATACCATTCTGTGGAAAATGGGTTTAGGTTACCCCTCCACAGTTTGCTTCGCGATCTCTGCCGCCATCTCGGATTTGCTCCGGATCAATTGACTGCCAACGCGCACAAGTATGTCGCGTCTTACATCCTGCGGTGCTGCGCCCTAGGCAGAACCCCAACCCTGGGCGAGTTTCTCACCCTCTTCAGCATCGGTGGATCTTTCCCTTTTTGCAGCTTGTATCCCCATAACCATGCCCCAATTTTCGAGAGGGTTGAGTTCAAGAACGAAAAATGGTCACTGAGATACTTCGTCATTGAGTTCCCGGCTCACAGTCCCCTTGACCTACCGGGTGTTGTTCTCCGTCGTTCCATTTCCCAGACAAAATTTACCGCAGCAGAATTGGCGGAGGAAGTGTACAATGCCTTGAGAGAGAAAGAGGGTTTAATTTCACACCACTCTCTTCAAGACGCCCAATTGTACAAGAAGGTGGGTTTCTACTTCCCCCTCGGTCCTGAGCCGATTCCATTCGAAGGGGAGTCTTCCCCTGAAAGATCGAAGGCTCCTCCTGCTGCAGAGTCCAACCCAGCTATGAGCTCTCCCGGGAACCAATCCCAGGGCAACTCCACTTCCTTGGCTATCTGCAAGCCGGCCGCTGCCCTGGAAGCCATTCCTATCTCTGCCATTCCTGGGCTTAGGAGACCCACTCCGTCCCAAAAACGGCCACGGGAAGGAGTCACTGATGATGATTTCCTTCCCAAGAAGAATAAGGGTGATGGTACTTCTGTTTCGCCCAGCCCCCTGTCGACTTCTTCTGGTACTCAGAATACCACCTCTGTTGCTGCACCCGGAGGTTTAGAGCTACCCAACCCGGAGAGCTTGGACCATGAGGCAGATGAACTCCCAGACCAAGCACCACTCAAAAAACCAGCGGTGCAGCCTCAGCCTGATGTGAACAACACCTCCCCACAAGTTGCATCTGCTCCCCAAGAACTGGAGGAAGAAGTTGAGGAGCAGAAAGAACCAGAATCTTCTCATGCAGCAGAGAAGGAGATCGAAATACAGAAAGTGTCGGACGCCCCCTCCACGGCGGAGAAAGAAGCTGCAGAGCAAAAAGATGTCGAAACTCCTCCAGAGACGGGGGGAGAGACTGAGACGCAGTAGGAACCGGAGGAACAGCGGGAACCGGAGGAACAGCATCCCGCCACCGCACCTTCGGCCGTCAGTCTCCCCATCCGGCGCAAGTTCACACCGCAAACCTATCCTGCCTTTACAGAGGGTTGGGCAGACTTTTCCCGTGGTTTGAGATCCTTACAGGCTTCCCATTGGACTATCCAGGGGAATCTAGAGAAGATGATGGAATCAGTGCAGGAGCCTACAATTCCCCAAGCTCGCCCTGACTTATTTGCCCTCACTGCTTTGCACTTCATGGAGCAGGTACTTTTTCTTCTCAAGAATCTCCTTTATCTCCTTTTAGTTATCTCTTTCTTGACTTCCCTTCCTCCTCCTTAGGCCCAACAATCACTCCTCACTTTGACTGAGGAGTCCCTGGGTGGAGCATCAGGAAACTACCGGGCCGTAATGCTCCTAAAGAAGAATGAGTTGGCTGCCAGGGCTCTACAACAGAAGATTGACTCCCTGGAACAACAAGTCCAGGTCCTTCAGGAAGAGAGTGCCCGGCTCAAGGCAGATGGCTCAACAGAGCTAGCAGCTGAGAGGTCCAAAGTCAAGTCCTTGCAAGAGCAGATTACTTCTTACCAAAGGGGGACTCAAGATCTGGAAATGCAGTTCGACAGACTCCGAGCACAAATCTTCATTCTGGAGTCAAGGGCCTCAACTTCAGAAGACAAGGTAGAAAGTCTGAAAGCTGAGTTGGTCGAAAGGGAATCCCGGATCTCTGATCTGGAGAATTCCCTCCAGGAGGCCAAGCATGAGGGTTCCCGTCTTAACGAACTCGCACTGAAACAGATGGAAGCGAGACGGCTTACCCTCGAGAAGTTGGGGGAAGAGAGACAGACTACAAGCGAGCTCCGGTCCAAGATGGGTGAACTGGAGAAGGCAATTGCTGCCCATCAAGAGGAGGTTGCAGGCCTGACTGCCCGTGCTGAAGCCCTCTACGAAGAAGGGAAATTTGACAAGCAACACTGCATTTATGAGGCGGTCCGATCTCTGGATGATTTCCTCTCCCACTACGGATTACCTCTCCCTCTTTCTCCCCCAGATTCTCGTGCTGACCCGGGGCCTTGACTTTATCTCTCTCTGCTGACTGTTGTATTTTGCTTTGTAACATTTAGATGGTAGTAAATTGATAACACCTGATGTATTTTTGTCCTCACAGACTCCTTTTATTAAGCTAACTGTTCTCCATTTGGGATTCTTATCTCGCCCCAGGACTTAGCAGATTTTTTTATCCGCCTAGGCTTTGGGCTTAACTGCGTTCACAAAGTGTTGTTTTCTTGTTTATCATTGCGCTAAGTGACTGGCTCACATTAATTACGCCAGGCCCAATCCACCCCAGCCCGATAACGAAATGGTGCAACCCTAGCTTTCCTCGAGAATCCGCAACTGCTTTCCAATCGGATAAGTTCTTGGACTCCGTGTCCCTTGCGCTTCTCCTTTGGAATTGCTCGCCTATTTAAGGGACTGGGCTGAACCCCTTCATCATCACAATCAAATTATCAACATGGTTAATAATGCCAACAGAGTTGTCTTTATTGATCTTACTATTTCCGATTCTTCTTCTGATTCTTCTTCGTTGGCATTCCCTTCACTTGGGGCCCCGACGCCTGAGCTCTCTTCTGGGCCTTCTCTTGCCTCTGAACAATCGGTGACTTCTCCCTTGCGTAGGGTGGAGAATAACCATCATCTCCCCCCACAGGTATCAGGGGGTGTTCTCCCGGGTTCCGGCGTACTTCCAAACGGTGCCAGGACGGAAGTCTCTTCTGGCTGTCCTGGCACGTCTCGTCCGCAGAAGAGACGCAATCCCCACTCAGGAGCTTCCCGGTTGGTCTCTGGTGCAAGGCCTTCCTCCCAGGGTTCCCCTTCCCCTCAGCAGTTATATGGACAGCCACCTAAGGAGTGGGGGGACTATGACATGGGGGGAAATAGGCTTCCGTTTATACGCAGGGAAAAGGACGGAACCTTCCGAGATCCGCCTCCTCCTGCCGTATAAGCGGAGACAGGCCTTGCGTTCTTCCCTCATGCCTTATCGCCCTCCCGGTCCGACTTCAAGGGAGTGACTGTATGGTACCTACGGGGGAATGTCTTTCAATCCCAACCCGTTGGTACCCTTTCGCCTCTTTTGAATGTCATCAAGAGAGAACGGTGGGCTCTCTTCACACCCCCCCCCCCTGCTCTAGGGTTCTTTTCTGGTTCAGGCAGAGAAGCAAGGGTCAGCGAATACACTCCTTTAGATTCCAGAAGTGTTGATCCGCCTTGCCGTCAGATTCTTCCAGTAGTAAGATAGAAGTAGATCTGGGACAAAGTTCATTACTGTAACCCAAAGGAACGTACTCTTCTGTTTGAGTAATTTAATGAAAATCTTTATCTCCTGTCTCTTTTTTGTTTTGTCGTTAGATCAGAGATAAGGCCCATTACTGTAACCCAAAAGAATGTAATTTTCTGCTTGAGCTATTTAATGGAAAAACCTTTATCTCCTGTCGTTTGATATAATTTTGTTGCACGTGCCGTCATCTGCATGGAGTAGAAGTCTTCGCCATTTAACTCCTTAGCTTCCACGGATGAGATCTTTCCCAAAACGCGGATGGGCCCAATTAACTGGCCCATGCACTTAAGTGGCGAAAACCCCTGGTCAAACATTGGGAATCTTCGACCGCTTCATTCACCAATCGCTTCGTCTTTCACGTCTTTTAACCGCATTCATCATTTCCCAACTATCCCTTCCCCTTTCACTATAAATGGGAAAGGATGGTTAGCTGCTAGTCCATCCCTTTCTGACTTCTTCGTCATGGCAAGTAAGTCTCGGAGTAAAGTCGTCATCGGCATAACCCTTTCCGGGACTTCTTCTTCTTCGGATGATGATTTCTCCGCCTCTCCGGCTCAATCCAACGACATGGCTGGGTTGAGTCCCAGCGAGTTCTCAAGACTTTATCCAGCAACTCGCCTCCCTGCACCATCTCCTCCTAGTCCACCCAGGCTTCCATCCGGAAGGATAGACTGGAACTCAATGACCCTCCAAGACTTCGCCTTGTACCAGAGGATGCACAGGGCTAAACTTGGGCGTACTTTGCAAATTGCTGAGGCAGAACCTTCATGTGAAAGCCGGATTGCTTCTCCAAACTTGCTGAAGTCTCCCAATGATGGTTCTTCATTGAGGGCTGCAGCTCCCCGTCCTGGGACATGGGAAGACTATGACATCTGGGAAGCTGCTGATTCCACAGCGTGTCCCTCGTCAAAGAGAAGGAGCCCATGGAAGAGACCCCCACCTCCTTGTTGACTGCATGGACGCAATAGGCCCTCCTTCAGCGCCTAGCCCCCTGCAAATCAAATTTCTTTTCCTCGTTTTATATCAAGAGGCATTCACTTGTTTGGTCCAGGAGTTTTCCCTGCGTCCCAAACTAAGGAATGTTCCTTAATCTCAAATTAGGAATTATCGTTGTAATTCAAAGATACAACCCCCGAATTAACAATCGATGAACTCCCTTATTTTCTTTTCTTTTTTATCTTACTAGGAACCTTTATTGTGAACCAAAAATGTAAACTTTGGCCCATCAATGTGGTCCTCAATAGTTGTTTCTTTGCACCTTTTCTAATACAAGTACGTAATTCATTTCTCTGTATAAAATCTCATCTCCCGGGGTTTGGACATGCCAGTGGAACTTACCTCATCTGCCCCTTGCCTCCTTTCCTTCGAGTTAAGGCATAATATTATCTACCTTAGATCAGTTGAGCTCCAACCCTCGAAGTTTGTTTGCTTGGTTGATCTGTGCTGGTGGAATACTAAGCTTGAGTCCTCGAAGTCTGCTTGCTGTTCTTCCTGAATTCCAGGTTGTAATGGCCCTCAAAGTCCAATCCCAACCCTTTCTTCATTTTTGACGGAGGCATAAACTTATCTACCTCCGGGGGGGCATAAACTTGTCTACCTCCCCTATTTTTAGCAGGTGGCATAAACTTATCTACCTCCCTGGAGTGCGGGTCTATATCGCCCGGGGGTGCTCTCCCCCTCTTTTTTTTTTAAAGAAATCTATAGAACAATGAAATCGCAAAGGCACTTGGCTTTAAAGGAAAGAAAATTTATTGAAACAAACATCTTAAGTTAAAAATAGAGCGCTTTTACAAAATGGTTTTACTGATAAAATTTAACCAAGTGCTCTACATTCCATGTCCTATCAATTTCTTTTCCCTTGGGAGTCACCAGCTTGTAGGTACCTGGGCGAACAATGGCCTTGATGATATAAGGTCCTTCATACTTCTTAGCCAGCTTCTCACCCTTAGTTGGTTGACTTTTCTCTCGTTTCCTCAGAACGTAATCCCCCACCTGGAAAGCCCTTGGTTTCACTTTACTATCAAAGTAAGATTTCACCTGGCGACGATAATTCTCCGCCCGGATCCGTGCTTCATCCCTTCATTCCTCTACGAAGTTTAGTTCTACGGCCTGATTCTGCTCGTTTACTTCCGGGTCATATTCCATTTCTCTCCTGGTGGGGATTACTGCCTCAGCGGGAGCCCGAGCTTCAAAACCATAAGCTAAGCCGAAAGGAGTGTCACCCGTAGCTCTTCTTGGAGTCGTCCTATATGTCCACAGGATTCTGGGTAGTTCATCCACTCATTTGCTCCCCTCTGAAAGCAACTTCTTCTTTATTCCGTCTATGATTGTCCTGTTGACGTTCTCCACTTGTCCATTAGCCTGAGGGTAGGCAACAGACACTTTTGTATGCTGAATTCCCCAGGTTTTGAGGAAGTCTTGGAACTCCGCTTCCTCAAACTGGGTTCCATTGTCGGATATGATCTGCTTCGGGACTCCAAACCTGCAGAGTATATTCGTTCCGACGAAGTCGATCATCTGCCTTCCAGTTATCCCAGCAAGAGGCCCAGCTTCCACCCACTTGGTGAAATAGTCTATCCCCACCACAATCCATCTTGCCTGCCCAGCTCCTCTCGGCAGGGCTCCCACAATATCAATCCCCCATCTTGAGAAGGGAATCACAGAGCTGATGGGCGTGTAATTCGTGGCTGGCCTCCCGGGCATATTCTGGAATTGTTGGCAGGTTGGGCACTTGCGTACGTACTCTTCGCAATCCTTCCTCATCGTTGGCCAGAAATATCCCTGGATAATCGCCCTTCTAGAGATAGAGTATGGACACTGATGTGCAGCACATACTCCCTCATGTATTTCTTCCATCAGTGCCTTTGCCTCTGCCACCCGGAGGCAGCGGAGTAAAACACCGTTATAAGATCGCTTATAGAGGACTCCATCCTGCACCTTGTAGGTAGGTGCCCTCATTCGCAACAGACGTGCTTCTCGGGGATCCTCCGTGGCTTCACCGTCCTCAATGTATTTGGCCAACCTGTCCAGCCACTCCGGGGGATCACCTGATACCCAGATCACCTCATTTTTGTTAAGACTCGGGGTTGCCAGCTCCTCGACGGTTGCTAATTTGCTTATGTATTCTGGTGACTCTGCGCTGAGCTTGGATAGAACATCAGCCTCCGCGTTCTGGGCCCGGGGTATATGTTCAAGCTTAAACTCAAACTTCCCCAACATTTCTAAGGACGAGTCTCGATAACTTTTCATCCTCTCTTCCTTAGCTTCAAACTCCCCAGTGATTTGCCCCACCACCAATCGGGAGTCGCTGTAAACCTGAACCCTGGATACTCCCAATTTACTAAGAATCTTCAATCCGTTGATCAGGGCCTCATATTCAGCTTCATTATTGGATACGCGGAACTGAAATCTGATAGCGTAATAAATCCGGAAATTTTCTGGGGTGATCAAGACGATACCTGCTCCGCAAGATCGAGCCCCAGAAGATCCATTGATGCTCATTACCCACCAGTCATTTTCCACCCGGGTTTCAACCTGGGCTCTTGTCATTTCCCTAGCGGTGCACTCAACTTGAAAGTCGGTGAGTGCTTGCCCCTTGATTGACGGACGCGGTTTGAACTCCACGTTATATTGACTGATGAAGACTGCCCACTTGGTCATCCAGGCAGACGCCGCCGGGCTTCGGGTAAGTGACGCCAAAGGCTCATTCGTGAGCACAACAATCCGGTGAGCCTGAAAGTACGGGGTTAACCTCTTCGTTGTCCAGAAGATCGCTAACATGGCCTTCTCTGAACGGGAATACCTTAACTCCGCATCTCTCAGGGTCTTGCTGACGTAGTAGACCGGATGTTGGGCCCCATTCTCTTCCCTCACGATCACAGTACTTATGGCACAGTCTGCATTTGCCAAGTATAGAGTCAGAACATCTCCAGGCTCCAGCTTAGATAAAACCGACAGACTTGCGAGATATCTCTTCAGTTCTTCAAATGCTTCTTGACATTCCCGTGTCCACTCGAAGGTCGCCCTCTTCTTGATTACCATAAAGAATGGGTGCGCCTTCTCTGCCAGCTTTGAAAGAAAACGATTCAAAGCCGCCAATCTCCCTGTCAGCCGCTGAACTTCTTTTGCTGTCTTCGGGGGTTCCATCTCCATGATCGCCATAACTTACTCTGGATTTGCCTCAATTCTTTTTCTGCTAACCATGTGTCCAAGGAATTTCCCACCCTGAACAGCAAAAGTACATTTCTTCGGGTTCAATCTCAGATTTACCTTCAAAGACCTCTTCAAGGTCCCGGACATGGTCTCGGGCCTCTTTGGACTTAACAATCATGTCATCAACATATGCTTCCATGGTTCACCCTAAAACGGACTTGAACACCTGAGAGACCATCCGGGTATATGTCGCCCCGGAATTTCTCAGTCCAAAGGCCATCACCAGGTAACAGTACAGCCCTTTTGGGGTCATAAAACTCGTCTTTTCAGCGTCAGCCGGATGCATCCGAATCTGATGGTAGCCGCTGAAAGCGTCCATGAAGCTCATTAACTCTGATCCGGCAGTCTCATCCACCATCTGATCGATGTTGGGGAGAGGAAACGGATCCATGGGACATGCCTTGTTCAAATCCGTGTAGTCGACGCACATCCTCCACGAAGGGGGCTTGGGCGCCAGAACTACATTTGCCAACCAATTCGGGTATTGCACCTCCCAGATGTGACCAATGCTCTGCAAGGTTGCTACCTCCCTCTTCACGAAATCTCTTCTTTCCTGCGACAAATGCCTCCGCTTCTGCTTCACTGGTTTAGCATCCCGCAGGACATTTAGGCGATGGACTGCAATCTTGTGATCCAGCCCCGGCATATCAGCTGGACTCCATGCAAAGACCCTCCTGAATCTTCTAAGGACTGAAATCACCCGTGATATGAGTTCAGCCCCCATGCCCTTGCCAATCCTGACTAACCTTCCCGGCGTGCCTGGCTCTAGTTCCACTTCTTCAATGTCGCCAGCAACTTCCACCCTGGGACGTTTTTCCTCAGCCCTCAGGAGCTGTGCAGTCACCTCTCCCACTTGGGTATCGTACTTGACTGGCTGTTTGGTTGCCTTCAAATAGCATGCCCGGGACACTCTCTGAGATCCCCTGGCGATTCCAACTCCGTGGGGGGTTGGGAACTTTATGCACAGGTGACGAGGTGAGATGACACACTCTAAATCTTCCAATCCGGGTCTGCCCAGGATGATGTTTGTGTTGGAGATTATCCCCACCACCACAAACTCCATGTCCAACTTCCGGGTGGCCTTTGTATCCCCTATCTCGACTGGGAGAGTTATTACCCCCTCCGGTTCAATAGAGTCACCAGTGAACCCGGTCAGTGGAGTTTTGATGGGTGATAATTCAACCCTTGTCAAACCAAGAGCCTTGTACGTGTCCATATACATGATATTAATGGAACTTCCCGTATCCACAAAGGTTTTATGGATCAGCAAGTCCATTATATCAATAGTAATCACCAGGGCATCCCTATGGGGGACCCCTGTCTCTGTCAAATCAGCATTAGAAAATACAATTGGCTCGGTTTTCAATTTCTTACCTTCTGGGACCAGCACCTTGTTGACCGTCGCCGCGTTTGCCCATTTTTTCCGGCTTGTGGCTGAGTCTCCGCCAGTATTCCCTCCAATGATGAAGTTACACCCGTGGTGTCTCTTCTGGCGATGCGGTGCGGGTTCCGAATCCTCTTCTTCATCTTCGAGCCCAATGTGGCCCTTCTCCCGGGCCTCAGTCTGGGCCATATCTCTGCGCTTTCCATTCTGAGCGTTCCCGGGATTTCCCGCATCCCCATCTTGTACGAACTTCTTCAGATGACCCCGGCGGATTAGCCTTGCCATCTCATTCTTCAGAGTATAGCAATCTTCCGTATTGTGATCATTCTTGCGATGGTAAGCACACCATTTTCCAGTGTCCTTCACATTGCAGACCTTTTGAGAATAGGTTGGATAAGTCATGAGTCCCTGCTGTGCAGCGTGGGCCATGACCTTAGCCACCGGTAATGTGAAGACTGGATTGGCAGATTTGTGCTTCTCCGAGGTCCCAGGACTTGTGCCCTTTGGGCCATCCGGGAAGCCTTGCTTCTTGTTTTTGAACGGCCTCTTATTTCCCGTCTTCTCTTTTTCTTTAGGAGTCTTCTCTTTCTTCTCCTCCTTTCTCTCCTCTAGGGTCACATACCTCCCGGCCCGGACCATTGCTTCTTCAAAGGTATCCGGGGGATGAGTTGTAAGATCGGTATGAAGGAGTCCATCCTGTAATGCCGCCGTGAACATGGCCAACCTGGATTTGTCGTCGGTTCCTTCAACCTCCCTGGACTCTTTCCTCCATCGAATAAGGAAATTCTTCAAGGACTCTCCGTGCTTCTGTCGCACTGAAGCCAAGTGAGTGAAATGCTTCTTGGGACGGCAGTTCCCGGCAAAATGCTCTAGGAACCGCAATCCCAATTCATCCCATGTCCGGATCGACCTGGCAGGAATATGGTTGACCCAATCCGCAACCTTGCTGTCAACCGTCTGCAAGAAGCACCGGCACATGAGTGCGTCACTGGCGTCTACGGCAATCATCACCTGGACATAGCTGTTTATGTGTTCCTGGGGATCTGACTCCCCATCATAACGCTTAACGAACGGCATTTTTAATCCCTGCGGATATGGTTCCGCAAAGATCTCCGGGGCCAAGGGAGTATTTGTCCGGGTACTGAATACTCGACCCTTGTTTATCTTCCTCTGCATCTCCTGGATCTGCTGCCTCAGATCTTGGAATTCACCAGTTTCCGGTACCAGCGGCCCCAGACGCCGTGGCGCTGGGATCCTGGCTTGGCTTTGAACTTCCTCCTCCTCCAAATCCACCAATGTCCGAACCGGCGCTTGGCTCCCGCCACGGCCGTTTCGCTGCCGGGGTTCGCGGTTAGAAGATGTCACTTGACTAGCCTGGGGTCGTATCCAACCCTGGGGTGCCTTGTCCGGATTCTTCCCCAGCCTCTCACTAACGTGAGCCTTCTGGCGAGATATCCTTTCAAAGACAGATCCCCGCGGGTTCTCGTTTCTATTGCCGACGATCCGGCTTGCATCCTTGGCCCGGTCTTCATTCACCTTACTATTTCGGGCCAATTCCTCCGCCCAGCGTCTGGCAATGGCCTGTCTCTCCCTCTCAACCTCCTCCGGATCATGAAGCTCCTGGAGGATAAGCGAACTCGCAGTACGCAGGACCTGGCGGGGTTGCCCGACAGGGATGTCCCGGGTACCGGATGGACCTGGAAGAGCCTTATCCAATCATTCCATAATGTTGGCCATCATGTTAGCCACATTATTCAATGTCGTTTCCAACCCATTGACAGGAACGATCACACCCTGTTCAGGGTTGTCACTCCTCACCGTCGACTGGGCGGAAGCAGCAGTGTTACGTCTCGTCCTTCGTCCGGCCATAATCTCACAGCCTTATCTCACAGTTTTCTCTCAATGAGAGCACCAATGATGGGATTAACCCGATCAGATGGCGGACCAAGAACGTAATATGGATCAGAAAGATATAATCTCTCAATAATATTCTTTAGTTGAGTATTCAATTACTCCCTCCTTTTATAGTCTTTCTAATATTGTAATTAAAATTATACAAAATGGAAAGGATTATGGAGATCATGGGGTTGTGATTCCCCCTTTTCCAGTCTCGTTCTCTTCCCATCTCGTCCACACTTGATGATGTGGGCCACGTGTCCCATTCCTCCCTTGGACTGGGTCACCTTGATTCATCCCATGACTGGGCCGTCTTCCTCTACTTGCCATATGCGCAATAACGGGCTTGACTCGTTATCTCCATCTGACCTTATACCTTTTGGGCTATTATGGGCCTTCATTTGGGCCTGGAATCGGGCCTACCAAACTCGATATCCATCAATATTTAAAAAAATTCATTGTATATTTTGTATTAGGTTTAAATTAATATTTCAAATTAAATACTTTAAAAAAACTATCTACAAAATAAAAAAACCAAAATTGGTAAAGCCTCATCAACTCCGCCATAACATATATACTTTCACGTGATAAAGCTTGATTAGAGAAACAAGCCTCATGACACCTACATGGCGGGGTCAAACCTCCTATCAAACCCATGAATGATAACATATAGAGTGAGAGCAACTCTAAGAGCATCTACAATGGAAAGTGTAAAAATAGGTAGGCTATATTTAGTTTTACACTATCAATATTGTTTTACACATCCATTTTTTTATATCCACTCCAACCATATCTTCTACAAGTATATAATACACTTTTATTTTATTTTAATATTTTAAGTTATTTAATTGTGATAATATATACTCCCTCCGTCCAGAAATAATCTTCCCACTCTACGTTTTTTTTCCGTCCGGAAATAATCTTCCCACTCTACGTTTTTATCAACACTCTTCCAAAAATACCCTTCCACACACTCACTAATCTTCTTCTCCTGGCTCTTTATCCCTCTCCCGTCGCCACCCTTTCTAATCTGCTCCGTATCTTCCATTTCCTCTCTCTCACCCACCCGATCCCCTCCTCCTTCTTCTTCTCTTATTCTTCTTCTTCTTCTTCTCTACCTGAATCCCCCTTCTTTCCTATCCCTTCTCTCTCTCAAATTAGCTCCTATTCCTTTCTTTTTCTTCTTTTTCCCCTTCATTCCCCTGCTTGTCTTCTCAGATCTGCGGAGATTTGTGGTAGATCTATGTAGATCTACGCTTTGAATATTATCATCATTTTCTTCTTCATCTCCTCTTTCATTCCGTTACTTCTTTTCTCTTTTTCCCAGGTATAACGATGGTGGCAGTTTGTGGCGATGGTAGGGCTGGCGATGACGGTGGAGTTGGGTGATGGTGGTGGGAGTTGGCGGCGATGGTGTCGGCGGTGACGATGGTGGTGGGGTCTAACGAAGATGGTAGGCCGACAGTGATTATAGGCTCAAAGTGGCGATGGGGTGGCGGCGAGGCTGGTGGTGGTGGGAGTTGGGGCAGCAATAGTGTAGGCCGTGGCAAATCCAATCGGAAATGGGAGGTTGGGCACTTGCGCTTTCAAATCAAGCATGGGTATCAAGGGCATTTTAGACAAACTACACTTAGAGTCAAAACCCATTAAAAATAAGGAAAAGTCAAACCGGGAAGTTTATTCCCGGACGGAGGGAGTATATTTTTAAAAATTCTGATGACACATATATTTTAAACTATGGTTATAGAGTATTAAGAAACAAGAAATAAAAAAATTAGAAAAAAAAAGTAAAAAAAACATACTACAACAATTTAGTAAAAAAAATTATTAATAAAAGTAATTGAAAGAGTAATAATAATTTACTAATAGTTAGATATTTTAAATAAATTATATTGGATAAGAAGAATTAACAAAATTAATCATGCATTATTTTAGTAATAAATTTTTTACAAGATGTGAATGGGAGAGTGTATATATAGAAGTTGAGGATTGTATTTTGGACTATAGTGTATTATTTACACTATCCATTGGAGGGGTTAAAATCTATATATTGTAGTGTATAAAGTGTACATTTAACAATATACACTTTTTACCCTCTCCATTGGAGATGCTCTAATGCACGAGGTAAATCAAAGGGTAAAAAACAATAATTGTCAAATTTACTTTTTCTGTACTTAAATTTATCTTCCAATGGGGAAGGTAAATGAAAAGGTATTACACCTTCCTAAATTTTGAAAAATGTTATTGGCACTATATCTTCTAGAACTTGTTCTTCAGGGTTGAAAGAAGAAATTAAATGTGTGAAAAACCAAAAAAATAGAAGAAACTAGAAAAAACAAAAAAAAACTAGAAAAAATGGAAGGAATTTCAAAAATTTATTTAAGTGTATTTTACATATTATTCCTATTATTATTACTATTATACAGAGTATTCATAATAAGTAAAGAAACTGAATAAAATTTGATCACATGAATAGTGTACATGTCATTTAATTAGGAACATAGAGAGTAGTATAATAATAATTATTATTATTTTAATTTAAAATGTTGATGTTTCCCCTTTTCAATTTAGATCAATAAAATATAAATAGTTTTTGAAATATAGTTTAGTGTCATGAAAATTAAAAAATCCCAATAAAATTGTACTCCATATTATTTATAATAAAAATGAAAGAAAAGAAAATAATGATTGTGAATCACAAAAAATAGTAATTTGAGAAAAAATAAAAATAGAAAAATTAAAATAACTTCTAAACTATAATTATGAATGTAATAATAACACCGCCACCACCACCACCAACAATAGTAGTAGTAGTAGTTTTAAATCTTTAATAATAATAATAATAATAATAATAATGTTATTACTCCGTAATACTGATCTATGTTCCAAACTTTACCCAAACCTGGTTTTGATGATATGGTGGGGGG